TATCTATCAAAGGGTGCCAATAGTTCTGGATCTATCTATATATCTGTCTATCTATCTATCTGTCTATCTATCTGTTGAAGTGTGCCAATAGTTCTGGATCTATCTATCTATCTATCTATCTATCTATCGAAGGGTGCCAATAATTATGTATGTATGTATGTATGTATGTATGTATGTATGTATGTATCTATCTATCTATCTATCTAAGTGTGTCAATAGGTCTGGTTCTATCAAAGGGTGCCAATAATTCTGGATCTATCTATCTATCTATCTATCTATCTATCTATCTATCTATCTATCTATCCGTATATCAAAGGGTGCCAATAGTTCTGGATCTATCTATCTATCTATCTATCTATCTATCTATCGAAATGTGCCAATAGTTCTATATCTATCTATCTATCTATCTATCTATCTATCAGTTTATCAAAGCGGGCCAATAGTTCTGGATCTATCCATATATCTGTCTGTCTATCTATCTATCTATCTATCTATCTATGGTATCTATCTATCTGTCTGTCTGTCTGTCTGTCTATCTATCTATCTGTCTATAAAAGTGCCAGATAAAAGTAAACCCTTGTCATTTCTGAGATACTCTCAGGTATAATAAATGTGTAATAAATGATGAATAGAGAGGACTATCATGATTTTCAGATTGTTATAAAACACTCGCCCTCGTGTTCAGAAGTGTTCAGGAGTAAAGTGTGAAGGCTCACAGCTGAGCAGCTGCACTGCACCCAGCGTTTCAGAGCGTGTGTAACGTGTGATTTATGATTTTGATGTTTGAGCGCTGGGTGATGGGATGCGATTGATTTTGCCGAGTCGAGCTGAATGTCAATGACTCGCTGCTGGAGTCTGAGCCTCAGACTTTAAACAGCGCAAAGCCTTGCATAAATAAAGGTCAAACACACACACACACACACACACATACACACACACACAAACACACACACATTCATCTAGACAAGCATAGATGACACACTGACACACATGCATTTTGCAAAAGATAAGTAGTTAAACAAACAAATGAATGCAATTCTGTAAAATATAAATTCTAAATATAAATTCTCTTGCTTTTGACCAAAATGTAAATATATATAAAAAAACACTAAAAAAAATTATACAATTTTTATAATTTTGTTTGCATACTTTTATAATTTTGTAGTATGATTGCAACCAAAAAAAATAATAATTTGTTGTAATTAAAACAAAAAAGTATTGTTCAGCTTCTTACTTTGAAAGGCTAGTCTAATAAAACCATGAACTGGACATTTATGACAGAGTGAAATTTTGAGTTTAAATTGTCAGGCTAAAGGAGAAATCGAGTTTAATGGTCATGTGATCTCGGTTTAATATTGGACGCCTTCATAAACTGCTAAGACGAAAATGAATTTAGCTGACGAGACGATTCCACAGAGCTGCTCGCTAAATCACATGCTGAGCCTCACCTGCATGCCGTATCAGTGATGGATCTTGTGTGTGTGTGTGTGTGTGTGTGTGTGTTATGCAGCTCCAGCAGGGTGTGACATGAGACAAATTCTCAATAAATCTCATTTCGTGCTGAGACGCACGTCACATTGTGCTGAGGGAGAGGAATTTCATCAGAATAGCGATCAATGTTTTGGAGATGGAGAGAGAGAAAAACGGAGAGAGAGAGAAACTGAGAGAAAGAACGGGGAAAATGAGAGGAATATTTTATAAACGCAAACAGTTTTCATGCCTGAAGAAATCAAATGTATTGAGAACACATTGCAGAAGTGCAGCTCCTATGTGAAGTTATCAATGGTTAAAGGGTGGGGTTAGTACTCACCCTATTCACTTAAAGGGTTAAAGGTCAGGGGCTTAAGTGCCTGGGCTGAAAGATCTGGTCTCAAGTTTGTGGTCTAAAAGTTCCTGGGTGAAGTTCCGGGGTTTAAGTCTCAAGGCTGAAGTTCCTGAGCTATAGTTCCTGGGATTAAGTCTCAGGGCTGAAGTTTTCTAGTCTAAAGTTCCTGAGCTATAGTTCCTGGGATTAAGTCTCAGGGCAGAAGTTTTCTAGTCTAAAGTTCCTGAGCTATAGTTCCTGGGATTAAGTCTCACGTCTGAAGTTTTCTAGTCCAGAGTTCCTGGGCTATAGTTCCTGGGATTAAGTCTCACAGCTGAAGTTTTCTAGTCCAAAGTTCCTGGGCTATAGTTCCTGGGATTAAGTCTCACGGCTGAAGTTTTCTAGTCCAGAGTTCCTGGGCTATAGTTCCTGGGATTAAGTCTCACGGCGGAAGTTTTCTAGTCTAATGTTCCTGAGCTATAGTTCCTGGGATTAAGTCTCACAGCTGAAGTTTTCTAGTCCAAAGTTCCTGGGCTATAGTTCCTGGGATTAAGTCTCAAGGCTGAAGTTTTTCTAGTCTAAAGTTCCTGAGCTATAGTTCCTGGCCTAATGTGCCTGGGCTTAAGTGTCAAGGCTGAAGTCTCTGGCCTAAAGTTCTTAGGATAAAATCTGTGGTCTAATATTTCTGGGCTAATGTTCCTGGTCTCAAATTCCCTGGCCAAAATTCCTGGTGTAAAGTTCCAGGTCTAAACTTCTTGGGCTTAAGTTCTTGGTCACATATTGTTTTGATTGTTGCAAGTGTGATGTTAGCAGCTGTGGCTGTACAGTGGAAACACAGTTTAGACCTGGAACTTGGAACTGTAGCCCAAAGTTAAAGTCCTTGAGTTAAAATCCCTGGATTTGAGTTCCAGGGTTTGAGTTCCTGAATTGGAGTTGATGAGTTTGAGTTCCTGGGTTTGAGTTTATGGATTTGTGTGCCTGGGTTTGACTTCCTGGATTTGAGTCCCATTGTTTCTTTCAGGGTTTGAGTCCCTGGCTTTGAGTCTCTAGGTTTGAGTACCTGGGATTGAGTTCCTGGATTTGAGTCCCTGGATTAGGGTTCCTTTCTAGAGTTCTAAAGTTTGAGTGCCTGGGTTTCCTGGGTTTGAGTGCCTGGGTTTCTGTGCCTGGTATTGTGGTCCTGGGTTTGAGTTCCTGGAATTAACTTCCTGGGTTTGTGTGTCTGGGTTTGAGTTCTTGGACTCAAGTTCCTGAATTTGAGTACCTAGGATTTAGTCCTAGGTTTGAGTTCCTGGGTTTGACTACCTGGGCTTGAGTTCATAGGTTTTAGATGTGGTTTGGGTCAGAGCCTGGCTTTGAGTTGCTAGGTTTGTGTTCCCAAGGTTTGAGTTCCTGAGCTAAGGCTCTGTGGAAAGTTGGCTAATGAGGGCGAACAGGAATGGAACTGAAGTATAAGGCTGGTATGTATTTGGGTCCTACCACTGAAAATGGAGTAAAACATTCATGTAGTGCGAGAGGGGAAAATAGTTTTCTGATGGATTGTAAATGGTAGTGCATAGTGAAAGAGTGATAAAGATAAGGGGAGGAGGAGACTAACTGACAGCACAGTCTCTCTCTCTCTCTCTCACACTCTCTCTCTCTCGAGTCTTTAATCAGGTTAAAAGTGCTCAGTAACCACGGTATTACTGTAACACTGACCTCAGTACACATTAGCCTCTCATCTTCTTGTACCTGCTCATGCAGAAAGATACCGCATGTGTGTCTATTTTTAGTTGTGTGGTGTGTTGAGTGATGGTTGAGGAACACTGTGACTTCATTTCCTTTATGTAATCTGAGAAGCTTGCTTGACTGATCAACATAATGAGCTTTTTCACATGGGCATGGCCTTGTTTTGTCTCCTGAGATATTGAACTGCGTATGACTGAAATCATAACTAAAACTACAGTGACTAGCACCTCCGAATTTCTTAAATCTAGTCAGAGCTTATTAAGTGATACAGTTAACTTTTTGCTAAAAGAAAGGAAAATCAGATGAACATCAGACAATTTTAGACAGAAATGTTTGCTAGAAACAACATGATCTTAAAATTTAAGTATGCACACTGGAGCTGAAGTTCCTAGCGTGAACTTCTTAGGCTAAATATGCTGGGCTAAAGTTATATTCTTAAATCTCTGGGCCAAATTTCCTGTCTAAAATTCCTGGCCTAAAAATCCTAAGCTTAATGGTCTAGGCCAAATTTCCCAGACTTAAGGGTCAAGGCCAAAGCTCCAGGTCTAACCTTCTGGATCTGAGGTTCCTAGGCTTAATTGTATAGGACAAATTTGCTGGACTAACGTTACTGGGTTTAACTGTCTAGACCAAACTTCCTGGTCCAGAGTTCCTAGGCTATATGAAGTTCCTGGGCTTTATTTCCAGGATTTAAGTGCCTGGGCCAAAGTTCCAATGCTTAAGTGTCTAAACCATAGTTACCTGGTATAAAGTTCCTGGGCTAAAGTGTCTAGGCCAAAGTTCCTGATATAAAGTTCCTTGTCTAAAGCTCCTGGGCTATATTTCCTGGATTTAAGAGTCTAGGCCAAACATCTTGGGCATAAGTGTGTAGGCCAGAGTTCCAGGTCTAAATCCCCTGTACTTATGTGCCAAGGCAATATACTATATGGCCAAATGTATCTGTACACCTGACCATCACATGGTGGTCCTTCCCCAAACTGTTGACACAAATTTGGAAGCACACAATTGTACAGAATGCTTTTGTATGTTGTAGCATTAAGATATCCTGGAACTAAGAGGCCCAAAGCTGTTCCAGCATGACAATGCCCCTGTGCACAAAGCGAGCTCTATGAAGACACGGTGTGCCAAGGTTGGAGTAGAAGAACTTGAGTGGCCTGCACAGAGCCCTGACCTCAAAACCACTGAACCCTTTTGGGATGAATTGGAATGATGGCTGCGAACCAGGCAACACTATCAATTGCACCAGCATCAGTGCCCAATGTCTTGCAGTCTTGTGGCTGAATGGACAGATCCCCACAGTCATGCTCCAAAATCTACATTACATTACATTTATGGCATTTGGCAGACAGCCTTATCCAGAGTGACTTACATTTATGTCATTTATACAACTGAGCAGTTGTATAAATGATGTGAGTTTAAATCCTAGCACTGCCAGGCTGCCACTGCTCAAGGGCCTACACTGGCAGCTTAGCAGTGATAGGATTTGAACTCACAACCTTCTGATTAGTAGGCTAACATATGAACCACTGAGCTACCACTGCCCTGTATCTAGTGGATAAAATCTAGTAGAAAGCCTTCTCAGAAGAGCAACAAAGGGGGAACAACTTAATTTTACTGTTCATGGTTTTGGAATGGGATGTTCAATACTCAGACGTCCACCTACTTTTGGGCATATGGTGTAGTTCCTGGTTTAAAGTTCATGGTTTAAAGGCTCAAGGCTTAATTCTGTAGGACAAAATTCCTGGTCTAATGTTCCAGGACTTAAAGGGCTAGACCAATATTCCTGATGTAGAGTTACTGATCTACGGTCTCTGGGCATAAATCTCTAGGCCAAAGTTATTGCTTTGAGTTTCCTGGAGAGAGCTAGACACTAGATGCTAAAAAACCTATCAAGTTTTATGCAATTGCAAAATATTATGCCACTATTTTACTATATTGCGACAAGTTAAGCTTAGCTAGCATAAGCTAATAATAGCAAGGTTAATACTAAAGTTAATAATCCCACACTCTAACAAGATTTTGGCATTTTTAGAAGATGTTTTTGAACACTGTATCCATGTGCCTGGCTGAAAATGTGTTCTGCGCTCGGTTTTGCATTTCCTACTCTGTTGGAATCCCGCTGAGCACCTCATGCATGCTGGGAAAGCGTTCGGATTTCACCCCTGCATTTCCAGTGCGCCACTTTAAAAAAGCTATTCCGCCACGCACTCACGCAGCGTTACTGAGAGACTCGGCTCAGACGCCGACACGGACTTATAAAAGACAGCGAGAAAGAAGCGAGAGAGAGAGAGAGAGAGAGAGAGAGGGTTCCCAGGGTGCTGTCTGGGACTGAGATTGGCAGATAACTTTAAAGTCAAGGTAAAGCTTTAGAAAACTGTGATGCTTCTCTTTGATCAGCTGTGGAATTGCATGTTGGGAGAATTTTACAGAGAAACCATCCATTCAAAACGTAGCAAAATAATGTTAAATTCGATTAGCATTTCATTATTATGCAAATTATGTGAATACATTTCAGCTCTCATTTCATTTAAAATGACTGAAAAGCATCACAGCATCCCAAATGGATGTTTATTACCATAATGCCCAAATTCGTAATAATTTATGATTATTGTTATTATTATTATTATTATTATTATTATTATTATTATTATTATTATTATTATTGTCACCAACTGCACATGATTATTCATGATTGTATCACGGTTTCCATGGTGATAACTGCTTTTCCATCATGTGCTTTTGGGTTGGTCTACATCCTTGATTATGTTCACTTGTATTCCTTGTCAGCGCTGTTGAATTCTGGATTGTGATTGGTCAGAAGGTGTTGATTAATTCTCTATAACAGCAGCTCTGGCAGTAGTGCAGCTGCAAATCACAGGTTTATATTAATGCGCTCGTTCTAATACGTTATCGTTTCTATAGTAACGGCTCTTTCACAGGGACTTGTATGGTGGACACATTACTAATAATAGTAATGAACTGATTTAAAACCGTGTAATCGTTGATATGATGAAGGAGATATTTACTGTATTTAACATTTATGGAAGGAGTCTCCAGTGTCAGCGCTTTGTACTGTAACAGTCAGAGGTAAAGCTGTAACTTTAAGTTTTCAGGACAGAGCAGTTTACGCTTTTTTTTGTGGTTTTCTCGGTGTCTGTGTGGGTATTTTTGTCTTATTAACTTTAAGAGAGAGAAAAATGAGAAGCTGGTGAGAGAATGAAAGAGAAATAAAACGCTAGGGGACATGCTGTTATAGAAAAATAATCGTCACAGTGGTAACACTAACTCCGATTCATCACACCACACCGTCACACAATATTTTACTGTAAAAGACACACACACACACACACACACACACACACACTGTGATTTATTCTATATTTTAATGACAGTTTGGCACATTGCTTTGTAGTGGCAGCTAAGCATTTATGACTTTAACGTGTGTGTGTGTGTGTGTGAGAGAGAGTGAGAGAGAATGAGAGAGAGAGAGAGAGAGAGACAGAGAGAGACTCAATGAAGGAAAGAGGGATGAGCAGAAGGCCGCTTTGATGAGATGAGTCAGACACTTCGGCAGATAAAAATGTCGCTAGCTCGTCCTACACTGACCCTGAAGTTATCTCACTATAGCAGGTGTGTGTGTGTGTGTGTGTGTGTGTGTGTGTGTGGGCACTGATGTACACCTCAATTCACTGTGACGGTGGGCTCTTATTTTCTTATTTAAAAGAACGTTAAATAAATGTTTTGTGTGAAAATTAACACTGACATTAAATGCTGTTAATAAATAAATGCTATTGGGAAGCAGTAATTTATTCATCTTTTACAAAAATTAGGATGATCTCATGAAATGTACATCTAATGCAACAGATTAGCTAATGCTTAACTAAAATTAGCTCAAAGAATATTAGCTTCCTATCACACACTTTGTCCGACTTATCACACAATTCTCCGACTAGCGTTAGCATACACCACATCCTACATATATCAGTAACAAATAACAAATAATCTTTAAATAAATTCCTGCACATAAAGCTATAAACAGTTCTTGAGTAACCTGCATGTCGTTGTTAATCTCGGCTGTATATTTATATTTTCCTGGAGATCATCACCATAAAATCGAGGTGAAAAGGTTTCAAAATCAATCGCGCAACGCTTTAGGAAAAGAAATAAGGATGAGGACAAGGACGAGGACGAGGCTCAGGTAGCTGCTGAGAGGATTTAATATACCAGCAGTGTTATATAACTGAACCGGCTGTACGGTACTGATGCAGCTCGTAGATCAGACGGTTACATTAATCCTGTCGAGTTCTCTCAGCGTGCAGTGGGAAGAATGCCTCCGATTTGAAGATCATGGGAAATAGTACACGTCATTTCTTTACGTTTCTGAATCATTTCCTAATAATATAGGTTAAAGATTCAGAAATCTGAATCACCTAAAAACAAAAACAAACCAGAAAATCGTTTAGATTAAAAATGAAATTTATGGGGACAAAAAAGTAATGCAGGAATAATCTTAGAATTTCAGAAATGAGGCTGAAATTCTATAATTAAAAAAAGTAAGCAAATTTGTGAAAAATCTTTTTCACCCTTCAGGGATTCCATACTTTGAACTTTAATGACATCCCATTCTTAATCCGTAGGGTTTAATATGGAGTTGGCCCACCCTTTGCAGCTATAACAGCTTCAACTCTTCTGGGAAGGCTTTCCACAAGGTTTAGGAGTGTGTTTATGGGAATTTTTGACCATTCTTCTAGAAGCGCATTTGTGAGGTCAGGCACTGATGTTGGACGAGAAGGCCTGGCTCTCAGTCTCCGCTCTAATTCATCCCAAAGGTGTTCTATCGGGTTGAGGTCAGGACTCTGTGCAGGCCAGTCAAGTTCCTCCACACCAAACTCGCTCATCCATGTCTTTATGGACCTTGCTTTGTGCACTGGTGCGCAGTCATGTTGGAACAGGAAGGGGCCATCCCCAAACTGTTCCCACAAAGTTGGGAGCATGAAATCGTCCAAAATGTCTTGGTATGCTGAAGCATTAAGAGTTCCTTTCACTGGAACTAAGGGGCCAAGCCCAACCCCTGAAAAACAACCCCATACCATAATCCCCCCTCCACCAAACTTTACACTTGGCACAATGCAGTCAGGCAAGTACCGATCTCCTGGCAACCGCCAAACCCAGACTCGTCCATCGGATTGCCAGACAGAGAAGCGTGATTGGTCACTCCAGAGAACACGTCTCGACTGCACTAGAGTCCAGTGGCGGCGTGCTTTACACCACTGCATCTGACACTTTGCATTGCACTTGGTGATGTAAGGCTTGGATGCAGCTGCTCGGCCATGGAAACCCATTCCACAAAGCTCTCTACGCACTGTTCTTGAGCTAATCTGAAGGCCACAGGAAGTCTGGAGGTCTGTAGCTATTGACTCTGCAGAAAGTTGGCGACTTCTGCGCACTGTGCGCCTCAGCATGCGCTGACCCCGCTCTGTGATTTTACGTGGCCTACCACTTCATGGCTGAGTTGCTGTTGTTCCCAATTGCTTCCACTTTGTTATAATACCACTAACAGTTGACCGTGGAATATTTAGTAGTGAGGAAATTTCACGAATGGACTTATTGCACAGGTGGCAACCTATCGCAGTACCACGCTTGAATTCACTGAGCTCCTCAGAGCAACCCATTCTTTCACAAATGTTTGTAGAAGCAGTCTGCATGCCTAGGTGCTGGATTTTATACACCTGTGGCCATGGAAGTGATTGGAACACTTGAATTCAATGATTTGGAGGGGTGTCCCAATACTTTTGGCAATATAGTGTGTGTGTATATATATATATATATATATATATATATGTAATTTCATGACTATATATAATAATTGCTATGTAAATGTGTGTGTATATATATATTCATGAAATATAAAAATAAACAAATACAAATACAAAGTAATGATACAAATTTAAAATGAAATTTCAGACAAATAAGCTCAAAAAGCTCAGAATTAGGGACTAATGAATTGCCAGAGCAAAATCAGATAAAAAAATGAAAATAAAAAAACACATGATCATTGATATGGTGAAATGATCTGTAAGGATATTATGAAAGGAGTCTCCAGTGTCAGCTTTAAGTTTTACAACAGTCTTATGCTTTTCAGTCACATGAAAAGCCACAACATTCAATGTAACTATAAAGGGATAAAATGTATGATGTGTCATTGTTTATTTAATAAATACGTGGTAGTGTTGGGAAATTGCTCTGTGCTGATTTATTTTGCTATAACAGCACCACACAGTGGTTTATTACTTCCATAAAAAGGAAAATGCTAATCACTCACCCATACTGCACTGTATCTGGATATTTATTAGCACTGAGCTCCTTTTTTATGGTGGATGGTGGCCTCCTCATGAGGGGCAAGGACGCATTAACATATCGCTTTATGAATCTTGCATTGGAATTGCGCTCAGAATTCCAAATCAATGTTAAGTTTATGGGAGGATGAATCGGCGCGACATGCTTTATGCAGGAGGTCTTCTCCAAAGAGAAGAAAATGAGAG